TCTGTTAAATGCTTTTCTTTGTCTGGAATGTTTCACAGCATGACATAAAACCTTTCTATCTTCATGGAAACCAAACTAGACAAAGTTACAGGTCAGATCTGTGGAGAGACAACCCTGATCATAGTCAATTTTTATTTATTTATTTTTATTCAGCAATAAATCACCAGTAATTTAATAGATGTAAGTTGGAGCTGTTTAATGTCACACTTTGGAACATTCCAGGCAGAGCAATGATATATCTATAGAACCAAGCAGGTGATGGACCCCCAACCAAAAAGTTACACAGTGCACCTTTAACACATATCTAGAGACCAACCGATATATCGATATGAGCACTTGGAGACAATAGCTATCGGCCTAAATCTTGCCGATATGGGGCAAAAGTCCACGTGGAGATGTTATACCTCGTTATAAAGCTTAGAGCAGGGGTGTCCAAACTTTTTTCATCAAGGGCCACATATCTAAACACAGACGAAGCAGAGGACTGATCGAGGGTCGTAGACTGATGCTCAATACAGTGAATGATTGTAATATGTGCATGTTTAACACGTTAGAATGAGTCTTTAATTACATGCTAAGCTCCTTAACCCCCTCCAGGCAGGCGTTGCAGATTTGCAACAACTAAATGCCATTTACCTACTTACGCCAAATCCATATTTTATGAGCTTTTTTTACTCAGGAGCCTTTTCTCCCATCCATGCTGATAAACGTGGAGGATGCAGACTGTGCAAGAACAGCTACACGCAAACAGCCTGCCAGAAGTGCAAAATACTTTTGTTGTTTACAAAGGATAAACATTTTTTTCTTGAAGCACCACACGAAAAAGTTATGTTGTTCTGCCACTGTAAAGCTGTTACACTGTGCTTTTTGTTTTCATTGTTATGAAAAGTAGTATACAAATAAAGTTAGCTTTCATATCATTTTCAATCTTCAATGTTTATTTACTACACCGGGCCAATGCTGCAAATCTGTAACATCTCAGAACGCATTGGATGTGAAGGTCTCTCTCAAAAAAAAAAGTCAGGATTGTATATTACTACCCCATATGATAATTTTCCCCAAACATCAGATTTTTCCTGATACTAAAATTTAATTTGAGTCTGAGAGGGTTAAAACCACACACAAAATATTAAATATTAGCTTTATTATTATTTTCAAAAAACTTGCAGTAAAAAGTTAATTTTTAATTGATGTAAGGTAATTTGGGCCAATTCACCTGGAAGCCTGAGGGCCAAGAAAAATTTGTCTGAGGGTCACATTTGGTCCCCAGCCATACTTTGGACATGCCTGGCTTAGACTCTCTATATTATGTCCATTTAATCCAATTTACAGACAGATAAATGTCCTAATATGTAGCGCCCATCAATATTTATCTGCGGAGTAATTTGTCTGTGTCTGTGATGCTGTACTGCCCCTGAACGCACCCTCAGAGTCACATGACTCACGTGCGCTTGTTTACAAGATCCATGTGAGGAACACTGAGGCGCTGGCTTTAAATGCTCTTATGTCTGATTCACGATACTGACTGACTATAAATAAAAGTGAACTTCTGCGCTCTTTAGGCCAGCAACAAAACTACTGCTTGTTTTTATCACTTATTTGTGAAGACATGTGATCTGAGAGTTCCCTGTGTGAGCGATGAGTGTTGCAAATGTGTTGGTTTTGAAGATAATTTAATTTTTTCTCTTTGGTTAGCCTGTTTTACTGGCTAGAATGTGATGCAAAAATGCCAGTAGTCTGACATACTGTCTTTAAATATGACCGTAAAGAGGTGGAATAACAATAAATGTAGCCTAAATAAACCAAATTTAACCAGTAGATCCCAGTAGAGCCAGACCTAAGTTTTATAATCAACTGAAGATTTACAGAGAATTTTTACATCATTAAAAATATCGGCTTTTAAATCTGCAGCTCCAACTTTCCTTTTATCTGTATCATATTGCCCGCAAAAAATCCATGTCGGTCAGGCCCTACGCATGTCATATCTCTTTGTCTTCACTAAGCCTAAGGTCCTATGCTCTGACATTGCAGATCGTGTCTTTAAACCACTACAGCTGTCCTAAGTGGCCGCAAATGGATCAATTTCAAACATTTTGCTCTTGTTTTTAAAAAGTGGCAAACTTCAACTGGGCTTTTATCTGCAGATACATTTTCAAAGGAGGCAGAGCACCAAGCGGAGACCACGCACTTAAGGAGACGTAAGTGGTCCTTTGACAAAAATAAGTCAAGTAGCCGAGAGCCAAAAATGTCCAAGATTTGCTATTTGGTCATAACATGAGCAATGGGCACTTAGGGGGTTTTAAGAGCTGCATTTGTAGTTTTAACAAGCAAAACTGAAGCAAAGGTATACTAGACCCTCACTTTCACTTATTATGAGAGCACAGTGTTAATCTGTTTGCATGAAAATAAATTTGCATCATATTTGACAAGGCAATATTTTTATCAAAACTGAAGCAACACTAATTAATGAGGGATAAAACTATGACCAAATGTTGTCAAAAGTTTTTAAAATCAGATATTAATCTATAAGGGATGGGACAAGATCTCGTGCCACAAGATTTCGTGAGACAAAACTGCCACAAAATTGTGCACACATGCTCAAAATTACCTCATGAGATTTTTTTTAACATGTTTTTACGTATGGATTGGAAAAAAGAAAGAAGAAAAAAGAGTAAAGTACTGGTGAGTAACACTTTTTGAGAAGCTGTAGTTCGAAAAAAATCACTGCAACAATGACAGCTAAAATATTAAATAAAGTAAATCGAGAACTGGATTGCACAATTTATTCATTATAAAGATTTGTCTCGTTTTCGTAGTTCCAATCTCGTGTTTTGTCTCGTATTGTGGAAATTGTATCTCGTCCCATCCTTATAATCAATACTAAAACAAGTATTCAGACTAGTTACTCAATTGAAAAGGTATCAGTACTAAAAAAGTCACATTCACAGGACAGAAATGAACCTTCCTTGAATAGCTTTAGAATGATTTTGAGCAAGTATAAGAGTATAAGAGCACATAGATACTAGGGATGGGCATTCGATGAAATTTTCTTAATCGATCATCAGAAGAATTAACGATCGATTATCGATTAATCATTAACGTTTTTATATTAAAATGATCATCATTATTTCTATCTGCACTACTAATCTGCATAAATAAATTCAATTTTACGACATATAAACCGTAACGACTCTAGAGCCACATCAATCCATTTGAGATTACAATGTGTTTAATTCAGTTTTGCGCAACTCTCACAGAAACAAAACTTAAAACCGCATCGCTAATTTGCATAAACTCAGATAAAACTACAGCTCTTGTGTCGCTGATGCGGTCAATTTCTGTCGGATTAAAAGACATGACTCAGTGGAATACAGGTTAGTGTGAACATATTTGCGTTTTTCAAAACCAGGACACCGTACGAGGGGAGGGAGGTGGGGACTCGTCATCGACATTGCGCTGCTCTCACCTGGCAAAACTTTTTCCCACTAGACACCGAAACATATGTCCTGCTTTGTACACTGTGCACATGGACTCACACTTGTCCCGAACGCAATGGAAAGCGTGGAAATTCTTGTACAAATCATCGTTAAATACACATTTGTGCTTCGGTACGCTGCAGACTGACCGAATGTCTGTGTTTGCTCGCTCCTTCTGAGTGCAGAGAGCGACATGTACAGACCCCTGTTTGGTCACGCTAAGCACAGCAACCTACATTCGGTTTGTCGATTAAAATGAACGTAATCGATGAAATTCTTAATGATCCATTAATCGATTCATCATGCCCATCCCTAATAGATACGGAACCTACCTGGACAACTGAGGGATTACACAGATGTAAGGCCACAGAGTAATATATATAGGGAAAGTACTATGATTTAAAACGTCTATTGTCGGAATCACTACTGAGTGTCAAGTCTAATCCTTAGTATCAAAATCAAGTCTGAAAATTTTGTATCATGACAACACTACTAAACTGAACACAAATGACAAGCAGGGCAAGATCTAAGCTGCCAAAAAACCAAGGATGACACTTTTTTAACTATAATTTGAATGAAAAACACAAGTGATTAGAAAAGGCAGCCAAGGTGATAATCCTTTCGTAATAAATTTTAACAACAAAACTCAAATACCACTGATAAAAACTTGCCTAATCAACCATAATAAAACATGAGCTGAAATAAATAAATTATCGACATGTCAAAACAATTAAAGGGCCCATATTACGACATTTTCTGATTTTTCTTTGTTATAATGTTGTTTCCTCGTCAAAAACATGCCATGTTTAAGAGACAAATCCAGCATATTTAGTTCTTCTTCTGAGTCTGAAAACACTCTGCTCCACCTTATGATGTCATGTGGTAATATAGTAAGAGCTCCACTGTGTTTTTAAACTCCATACACCTTCACTAGAATTATTTGGATGATTTCAGCTCTGGAATTGCCCATCTCTATTAAACAAAATGTAAAAGGTAGCTGTTTGAAAACTTGAAAAGTACCACTACATGACATCACAAGGTGGAACAGAGCATTTTGAGCTTCGGAGATGTAGACAGACTAATAATAAAGTGTGTGAATGAAACAAAACTCAACTTCAGGTAGGTTTTTGAAAAGGTAACAACATAATAACACGGCCTAAAGCTCCTAAGAGTCATTTTTGTTTAATATGGACCCTTTAATGATTAGAAAATTGATCACAAAAAATAAACTACACATCAAAATTCAAGTACACACCTGCCATTAAAACTTAACACAACAACACACAAAATAGCCCAAAAAAATTACACCATAATTCACTTAAGTTTTCCCAGTGCCTTTGAGAAAACTTCTGGGCATCCAATTTCCTGCATGCCCCACCATTACTCCTCTCCCCCCCCCCACAGATTGTAAATCACTGGCACCTCGGAGGCTGGCCCCTGACACGAGTGAGATGCCAGTTCAATTAGCACAAGACTTAGCAGCCGCAGTAATGAAGTAATCAATAAAAGGATGGACTTATTTACCCAGGACATTTCCAGAAGGCACCTCCTCCAACTCCTCCAGCTCTCGTCCCATCAGGAGGTACAGGTTGCCCAGGTAACAGAGGGATAGATGGGGGGTGTCCGGGACAGAGTCGGACTGGGAACTGCACCCCTCTGGCAGCTGGGAGAAAGCAAAGAAACACATGAATTAGACATTAGAAGAAGCATTAGTTTTGTAATTAGCCGGACTGATGAACTGCAGTAGCGATGTAGTCAACTAAAGAAGTGTCCTGCAGATAGATAGAAAAAAAAGTGTCCTGTAGGGGGAAAAAAAGGGTGGCAAAAGTTCTCAAAACTATTATGGTAAATGGTCACATTTTATATAGCGCTTTTCCACGTTCAAGGCTCTGAAAGCGTAGCCCTTTTCAGCAGATGGTTTAACTTTGTGGAAACCGTCTGACCTCGTAGCATTAGGATTTGTTCGCTCCACGGTAGAAGGGTATTGTTTAAATTTAACCGATCGCTGCTATTTGGTCATGATGTATGTAATGCACGAGAATGCTCAGTGGCGTCCAAGTAATTGCCAGCACAACAGTAAACAAAGGCGAGAGTGAAAATCCTTGATCTAATGAATTGTTGCCAACACAGAATGTCTGGCTTCATCTACATCCATCTCGACCGCTTCGTTTACTGTTGTGCTGTACCACAAAAGGGACCCAGACAGGCGCTTGAGTTTGACGTCACGGCTTCACAGCTCTTCGCTGATTGGTCGTCTAGCGTTCCTGACCTAGTCGCTGGAAAGAAATGAAATTGAACGGAGGCACTAGGTGGCGCCTGTCTGGCTACTGTATATCAATGAACCACTAACCTAATCACACACACATTCATACACCTTTGTATGCAGACACTGGGGGCAAAGTGGGTTAAGCCCAAGGACACAACGACTGCATTTATCTGGGGCAGCTGGAATCACACCGCCAACCTGTGGGTCAGTGGATCTGACCACTCAAGCAATGATGGTTATGGCAAGAGCGAGATTTGAACTGCCAATTTTTAGATAGTGGACAAATGATGTGTATCTACAGTATGCATCTGACCCCAGCTGCATTCACAAGACTACAACTACAAAAACAACTAATTGTACAGAAAAAAAAAAAAAGTATTTATATGAAGACAGATTAACTTGTGAATCATTGAGCTGAATCGAGTTTTTACATATAAATACCAAAAACGACCAAATCTTCTGCCAACTCACTCCCATATAAATCCAACTTTTCTAGTGTAGGGTCCTTCACCTGCTTGTCTCCATGGAGATGTTATTGCCTGGATTGTTGACAATAAACACATCTATCCAGCATTTATTCATTATGGGTGTTTCAGTTGCTCAAAAACACAATAATTCTCTCTGTGAATAGGATTGCCTCTTCACAGATCAGACCTGTAGTGTAGTTTATACCCGTCTCCCTTGAAATATATAGGTTTAATTTCTACAGTGGAGCATTCAAACAAAGCAATAACATCTCCATGAAGATGTTGATGGACTGTCCACCAAAAAAGTTGCGCAGTGCACCTTTTAAGGTCCTATATTATGCAGATTTGACTTTTCTGAGCTTTTAACCATGTTATAATGTGGTTTCTTCATCAAAAACATACCCAGATTTGTGATTTGTTTCCTTCACACCAGTTTGAGTAATTATATATTGTTAGTCTGTCTCAAAATACTCTGTTCCACCTTCTGATGTCATGAAGTGGTAGTAGTAAAGTCAACAGCCCCCATTGTACTTTTAGTTCAGTAGAGATGGGCCTTTCCAGGGCTAAATTCATCCAAATGATTCTAGTGAAGGTGTGTGGCGTTTAAAAACACAGTGGAGCACTTCCTGTATTACCACATGACATCACAAGGTGCAACAGTGTGTTTTCTGTTTGATCGAAGAATTCAGCCTAAATATGCAGGATTCGTGCATTAAACATGTGTGAATGAAACAAAACAGAACTCCAGGTCTGTTTGTGATGAGGAAACAACATTAAAACATACATCAGAAAAAAGCTTAACATGTGTCCTTTAAATTATCTAATTGCCAATACAATATTAATTCAAAATACAATAATTCGTTAACACATTTTGGTCAACTAAGACACCATGAACCAGTTAATCGATTAAACAACTGAAGGATTACAGCCCTAAATTAGACACTACCCAGAAGCATTAGTTTTGTAATTAGCCGGACTGATAAACTGCAGATGGTCTGGCTCTGATTAAACCCTGGATTAAGAAGTGTTGGACGTGGCCAGGTCTGATTGTGCTGCTGTGGTCCCTGTTTTCCAATTCCAGTAAGTGCAGTCTGCCAGAGATACAAGAGATGCTTCGGATAAATGCTACATTAGTTAAAGTCGCACTGTGTAAATTTTCTGGAAGGGCCCGCAACCTGTTTGTCATTTATTCAACTACAGGTGTTATTTATTGCTCAAAAATATCTTAAAAAACATTCATTCTTACTGTGAGTGGGGCAGCTTCTTCATAAATCTAATGTGTAATCTGTTTTACAAGTCTCAGAGGAGAATCATAAGTTTATGGTCGTACCGTGGAACATTATGGGCACATCTCCATGGAGACAAGCAGGTGATGGAGCATCCACCAGACAAGTTAAACAGTGCCCATCTCATGCAAAATAACTCTTTTCACATTATATCTTATGCACATATACAAGCACAATTTGGGTTTTGGAACATCCATTACACAATATTTATGAAATCTGACTGATTTCTTGGAGACAGTCAAAGACCAGGACCTGTGAAAGACCGACTATTGCTCATCCCCCCGCCCGTCCTGAGAAAGCACAGGCTCCGCCCTCCAAACGTGACGTAGGCTCTGAGTGAGCCGCCCTTCCTCCGCCCATCTCCGGGAGGGAGGGGGAGACAGGCGTGCACCCTGATAGCGGTAGGAATAATCTTTTATTCATCATTGCGATACAGCGCGTTCAGCCGCAAGTGCTGGACCCGGAATCGGACGAGAACTTTACATGAAGCACAAGCACCGCGTCGACATCAGCTCAGCATTACTGATTGGTAAAATATTAATAAACACTCGTAGATAAACTTATTATATCGTGTACACTGCAGTGTAGAACAATTAGCTCATGCTGTCGCGTTTGTTTAGGTGTTCATGTGAGAATTGTCAGCTGATGCGGGGTTTAGGCGGGGCAGAGGCGGTGGAGCGGGGGGGGTTGTGGGTGCTAAGTTCTTTCTGTTACATCAAACGCATCATAGGTGTAGCTGCCGCGTCATCATTGTAGCAGCTTTAGTTCGTTGTCACGTGGGAGGGGGGCAGAAATACACTGCAATTTGTTTAAAAAAACACCAAATCAATCTAAAAACCACTTCGGCGACACACATCACTGTTAGAAGGTAGAAAGCTCTGAAAAGTTGATTTTGCATGAGATGGGGCCTTTAAAGAAACATTGTGGAGCTTTCTGGGAGAGTGTCCTGCCCGCCACCGTCTTCTCTTCACCTACATGTTATTGTTTTATCTGGAATGTTCCATAGTATCGCATTAAACCTTCCTATCTCCATCTCAAGCAGGTGATGCCACAGAGCCAAATGTATTTTTAGTATTAAAAATGTTGGCAACTGAATAAATGCAACATGGATAAGTTTAATGACAAACTGTGCAACATTCTAAGCAGACAACACAATGACGTTTCCATGGAGATGAACCTCCACCAGAAAAGTTACACAGTGGACCTTTAAAATTACCCAAACCTCAAATATATATTATTATGTAGCTTTGATTCAATCCATTTTTGTACAACTTGTAAACCATTAAATTTAACTCACTGACAGTTTGGTGCCAAAAACGCTGCATTAAGATGTTATGAGAAAAATAATGATCCTTTTTATGTTTTTTTTTTTTTTTTTTTTATGTTAAAAGGTGCAGTATGCAACTTTTCTAGTGCTCAAAAGACTTGAATGTTCCACAGTATGCCATTAACCTTGTCTATGTAGCATTTATATAATTAAAGTCATTTTAAATATTATACCTTGAAAAATGTAGTAAATTGGCACCAGTTTCTCTCCATGGAGACGAATCCGCGTATCATTAGTTCATTCATTTTTCAAATAAAACCAAAAATAAGAACACAAAAAACAACTGTTTTCTTCCTCCTATTTTCCTAAAACCAAAATGAAAAAATGGATAATGATTTATTTTTTCAGTTTTAAAAAACGGATAAACAGCCGGATGCCGTTTCCGTGACTGTGATGCTGGACTTTTGTGCAGCATTCGGACTGAACCAGGACTAAACCAGGACTAAACCAGGACTAAACTATGGATTGGAAAAGGACTAAAACAGGACTGAACCAGGCGTTTAGTCCTGGTTCAGTCCTGGTTCAGTCCTGGTTCAGTCCTGGTTCAGTCCTGGTTCAGTCCTGGTTTAGTCCTGGTTTAGTCCTGGTTTAGTCCTGGTTTAGTCCTGGTTTAGTCTTGGTTCAGTCCTGGTTTAGTCCTGGTTTAGTCCTAGTTCAGTCCTGGTTTAGCACTGGTTCAGTCCTAGTTTAGTCATGTTTTAGACCTGGTTTATTCCCGGTTCAGTCCTGGTTGCGTAAGCGGCGCAAAAGTTCGGCATAGCAGTTCAAGTCAGAAAACGTTTTTTCCATTACTCATTTAAACACAAAATTGAAAACTGTAAAAACAAATCGTTATTATTTTTTTTTCATTTTGGTTTTGGGGACAAATAATAAAGAAAACAGTTGTTTTTTCGCTTATTTTGAAAAATGAATGAACGAATGACACACGGATTGAGATGGATAATAAGCTCACTGAGAAATAATTGAGTTTAAAAGAATATCTACAGGCTTATATAGTTTTAATTTGTTGTAAAGAATCTTTGTTGTTGTTAAAGAGCGTTAATGAGTCAATGAGTATGTTTAAAGGCACACTGTAACATTTCTGGTCGAAGGTCTGTCACCTACTTGTCTCCACGTAGATGTTATTGCTCACATCTTCCTGAGAGGCTGTGTAAAAAAAACAGCAGTCTAATGTCCTGCTGATCATTTCTGCCAGAATAAACCTGGATTTTACCAACAAGAAAAAATTGCAAAATAGAGCCTCCTTTAGTGGAGTATGACCACCTCCCTGACTTCCCCATTACCATATTCATGTTTAAACCTTTTCAGATGAAAGAAGGACATGCTGAAATTGGCTTGAATGAGTGTTGTGGCGCTGTACTGCTGTTACCCCGGCAACCGAATATAGTGGACGGTGACCATTCATGACTAAATTGAGTGAGAAGTGACTATGAAAGTTTATGAATAGTGATTTAAATTCCCTCTGACAAGTAAAAAGGAAGATGGAAAAGACTACCTGAGCGAAAGATGAGGTTTAAATATAGCCAATACATCAGTGACTATATATACAACCAGAACTGACCTTCACATCAATGAATTTAAGGTAAAGAAGTAGATATACAGTAGTTAAGTTGTTATTTAAAGGTCCTATATTACACAAAATTGACTCTTGTGCAGGACTGGGTATCATTAAGAAGTTGCCGATACGATACACACCTCGATACGATATGCTTTTCAATACAGTGCACTTTCGATTCAATATATTTCAAATTGATTCAATGCGGTTCAGTGAAAAACAAAGACTAAATCATGGCTGTGATACTAAAAGTCTATTAAATCCACTAAGTTTGTGCCAAGTTAATATGAAAAACACCCATTTTACTCATCAAAACAGTAAAAATGTCAACACAATTGTAGCTCTTACACAAAATAATTTAGTAAAATATACGTAAAAATACTCTTGGCGATATATCGATACAGCAGCAAAATTAAACGATGCGATATTATGATTTTTCAATACGTTTGCACAACCCTACTCTTGTGAGCTTTTAGCTTGGTGTTACCTCCTCAAAAACATACCTGGAGTTGTGTTTTATCAAATTCACACATTTGAGAAACTCTTTTTTTATTACCGTATTTTCCACACTATAGGGTGTCCTGAATTATGTATAAATCACTGTCATTAAATGGTCTATTTTCAAACTTTTTTCACAAATAAACCGCACCGGACTATAAGGCGCATTAAACGAAACAACAGTTGGGATGGGTCAGTCGGACTTTGTTTGGCCCATTCACGGTGGCTCTCGGCTTTGTTCAGTTGTGGCGCGTAGGGAGGGCGCTGTATGGGACCGCTGGATTGTTGGCATGTTTGCAGTGACTCAGTTGTTCAGTTTTGTCTAGAAGTGGCACATTGCACTGTGTTTGCGTGCGCTGCGGGCTTTGTAGTTTACTGAAGTCGTGCTGGGACACCCGAGTGGATTTGTGTATCGTCCTTTATTGATGGGGTTGGGGGCTTATGAGTGCGCCCTATAGTGCAGAATATACGGTAGTCTGTTTAAATCTCAAAAGCTGAAAATGCTCTGTTCCACCTTGTGATGTTATGAAGTGGTAGTTTTCAAGTTAGCAGCTACTTTTTACCTTTATTTCAGTAGAGATTGGCAATTCCAGGGTTGAAATTGTCCACATTATTCTACTGAAGGCGTAGAGAGTTTAAAAACACAGTGGGGGACTTCCTGTATCACCGCATGACGTCACAACGTGGGGCAGTGTGTTTTCTGTTTGAGAGAAGAACTCAGCCTAAATCTGCAGGGTATTAAACATGCGTAAACGAAACACAACTCCAGGTCTGTTTGTGATGAAGAAACAACATTATAACATAGATCAGACAATAGTGTAATATGGACCCTTTAAGTATAAGACATCCTGTACATTCATACCTGTGTCATCTTTATAGCACTGCTCTGAAAATTCTCATTTTCCCCTATACCTCTCATGCATGATGTCTGTAATCTCTACTCATTTCATTTTTTGTTTATTTTTTTTTTTTTACAGAAAATTGTGAATAGATTGTAACTACATATATAAAACTGCACAATATGTTTAATTTAAATAAAAAGAAAACAGTATGGGTTGAAATGTATTAGGTTTTGCAAAATACATTTTAAATTGAAGATTCAGTTTGCAGAGAACATTTTATAATTCTCTTGGAGACTTATAATGTGAGAGAAAACGAAAATAATGTTAGCAGGTTATATAAATAGTAAGACCCCATGGAGACAAACTATGAGGTTCTCTGCAGCTGAACCTGATTTTTACAGTCTTAAAAATATGACAAACAAAACTATTTCATTGTAAACTGTTTGCAGTAGAGTAACCTTATTCCTGATGTTCCTAATTCACTTTTTGTATTATTATATTATTCAGCACTATGAGTTTATAAGCACCTTTCTTTCACTCTTTTCACTTTCAGATGCCAGTGCGGGGTTTTGCCATCACAGTAATGCCAACAAACATTAGCATGCAAACAAGCTCACTTCCTGATTCTCAGATAATAAGAAGACCTTTTATAATTAGATGCAGCCAGGAAGCAGAGGTTTCATTTGTATTCTAAGAGCTGCTTTATATCTGAGCTGGGGAAAAAAACAATTTAGCTAAACATACATACATACATAAATTCATACAAACATACATGAAAAAAAATCATGTACAGCCACTTTAAAATTGCCGTTCCAATCTGAATTTGATTAACCCTTCTTTCCCATTTCCTCTGCAATCTTCTGAAACTACATTTCAAATAATTCGGTGGAATGAACCGTGTAACCTCCTCTGAACACTGCGGTCCTTGTACGGCTCATTACAGTCGGGTTTGCAGACGCTGTGGGGCAGGTGTAGTGATATGGACAGCTGTGTTTACCGTGCTCAGGCCCAGCGCCGGGTCGTACTTTGGTCCCAGGACAAAGACCCTCTGTCCCGGCCGCACCACGCCGCTGTAGACCCGAGCGAACGCCACAAACTTCTCCCGTTCCTCCTCCGCGCTCTGCTCCCTCACCGCCAGGGCCTCCATCTTGGCCGAGACATCTGTGAGACAACAAACGAACTCAACAAAGTGTGTAGGAGGGCAACTCTGAATAACATATATAATAGGCTGAGGGTTTATTTATTTATTTATTTATTTATTTAAAATGGACAATGCATATTCATGAACATATACTTGTAAATACGCCAGAATTAGCCCTAAGGCTACTTTTCATCTGTCGTCCCTGGCAGGTCAGAGAGACAGAGACATAAAACATAAGAACATAAAACGCGTCACAATAGACAAACACACAAGCATGACATACAACACTGACATTTACATAGGAGCATAACATTAGTGATCACAGATCTGGTTTCTCTTAAGCCATCGCTTCAGATTAGTTTTAAATGAACTGAATGTGGTGGAGTCTCTTATAGCAGCTGGGATGTTGTTCCAGATTTCTGTGCCCTTGACTGATAACACCTGTTGACTGAAAGTTGTGCGTCTATAGGGTTTTGCACAGTCGCCTCTGATAGAGGCTCTTGTTACCCGACCACTAGTGCTGGACCTGGGCTTAATGAACTCACCCAGAGCTGGTGGAGCAAGTCCATTTAAGATTTTGTAGACTGAGCAGGCGAGTTTAAATTTTTGAAAATTTCCCAAACTTTAGATATTATACTTCTGTAGTATGAGACAATGATGAAACGATAAAGATTTCCTATCAAATATCTTTAACGCTTTTTTAAAAAGTGATTCTATTATTTTTAAGGTTGTCATGCTTGTTAGTGACCAGTTAGTAATGCTGTATTCAATATGAGAGAGAATCATGCTGTGGAGAAATATTTTAGCTGCATTTTCTGGTAATGATGCTCTAATTTGCCTAAAATTGTGAATATTAAAATTAACAATTTTTGATATGGTTTTTACATGTTTTTTAAAAGTTAAAGTGAAGTCCAAGGTAACACCAAGATACTTAAATTCATCTACAAACTGGAGTCCCTCACCCCTCAGCAATACATTTAAACAAGACTTTGATGGATGTTTTGAAAAAAGCATGCAAACAGTTTTTTTAGTATTCAGTAAGAGACTGGACTTGGTCAGTCACTTATCTAAACAGGTGATTGCTGATGTTAACTTCTCTGAGGCTTCTATGACAGATTTTGCTTTTGTAAAAATTACGGCATCATCAGCATACAACACAATGTTAAGGTCCGTACAAACATTCGGCAGATCATTAATGTATAATGAACATAAAATAGGTCCAAGTATGGAGCCTTGTGGTACTCCAACCTTGCAAAGTGTTTAAAAGGTGCTCTTCGGTGTATGAATCAGTATAAAATTGTCAAAGTAATAGAACTTTTTCACAAAGGTTGGAAGTGCCCTGATGTAGGGTAAACGTCACTTACGTTAATGCTTTTGTCTGGCAAAATATCTGAGGAAATGTCTTGTGTATTTTCAACCGGTTTCATAAATTTCATTATCTTCATCCAACAAAGTCCACAAAGGATAAACTTGAAGAATTTATCCACAACTATCAAGGTAAGAAAGATGAAAACTTAAAGGTGAACAACGACGACACATTAGTAAACTTCTGAGCAAAACTAATGTTATGGTCATGAAAAAACAAAAGTAACTTGTTAACTAAGACTGATTCTACATTTTAAACATCAAACATCTGAAGCATTCGAACTCCACAAATCTCTATGCCTATGCTAATATCTACATCATGAAATCGATTTTTTATTTTAAATGTAGAATCAGTCTGAGTTAACAAGTTACTTATTAATTAATTACTTGTTACTTATGTATTATTCATGACTATAACGTTGGTTTTGCTCAGGAGTAGTTCACTAACATTACTCGTTGTTCGCCTTTACGTTTTCGTCTTTCTTACCTTGATAGTTGTAGATAAATTCTTCATGTCGACCTTGTTGGATGAAGATTTGGTGATGGGGCAGATTTATGAAGCTTGTGGAAAATACACAAGACGTTTCCACAGATATTTTGCCATAGAAAACCATTGACATACGTGACATCTACCCTAGATCACAGCACTTCCGGCCATTGTGATAAAGGTCTGTATCACTGACAATTTCACATCATTATTAGTATACTACAATTACATGTTAAAATAAGTTGTTTTAGTTGATAAGGGATAGTCTGTTGAGCAGATTCAGGTTGTAGATAATGAAAACAGTTAAGGTTTTCTGAAGAAGGGGCCATTACCTCCACACAAATGTTATTGTCTTTCCTGGAATGTTCCACAGCGTAGCCTAAGGGCATCTCTGTTACATTTATTGAATTAAATGTGTTTCATTGCTCAAATGTCGTGAAAATATGCATTTTAGTGTACAGTCATCCCTCACTATAATGCGGCCTCGCTGTTTCGCAGATTTTTTTTTTTTTTGGTGCAATTTTGTATGTTTTTTTTGTTTGTTTTTAATGAACGTGCACTGTGTTCCTCCCCCTGCATCCTGATTGGGTAAGGGACTGTAGACCACTATCAATAAATCTACGTGCCGTGGCTCCTATACAGTAAAGAATGCGTTCAGCCGGCCAAATTTATATAAATGTTTGATCGCTTGCAGTGTGACTCTGACGTGCAGTATGTTTCCAAGTTTTCTCCCCGACAAAACCCACAATGTCGATGAAACGTTCTGCACTGACAAAGTCTCCTGTGGTCGCACCCAAAAGGCAGAGGAAGATGTAAACCATCGCACAAAATGTTGGACTTCTGGACACGCTGAAGGAAGGTAGAAGTTATGTGGCTGTAGGACGTCATCACGGAATAAATGAATCTTCAGTTTGTTACATAAAAAAGAAGGAAAATAACAAAAGGACGACAGCAGCAAAAAGTTTTAAGAAGGATGCAAAAAGGGTTGGAACTGTCCTGTCTGAGAAAAGTGTTTAAAGTGTGTGGTGAGGGGATTTACAGCCTTAAAACAGATATAATAATAAAGTGGACTACTTTGCAGATTTCACCTACTGCAGGTTATTTTTAGAACGTAACCCCTGCAATAAACAAAGGACCAATGTAAACATGCTCTGCTCTCCATAGATATGACCTGTAACACATGCTTGTCTCCAATGAGTTTAAAGGTGCATTAGACAACTTCGAAGGTAGAGGGTCTGCTGCTTGCTTGCTTGCTTTCTTTGCCTCAAATGCTCCAAAGAGGGCACTCAAATCTCATTTACATTTGTTCAATTACAGGTCAAAAATACCTTATAATCATTCATTCTTACCACGTCCAGGTTTGCTTCTTTTACCAAGTTTATTTCCATACGTGGAATTATCAAGGCAAATCAGTAATATAATTGAAAAGCATGTGGCAGACCCTCTACCAGAAATATCAATCTAAACGTGCATACACACTTCTCTCTTCGTCCCCATCTATTCATTCATTCATTAGTATTCTGTAATAGTGTGCATATAGTGTCTTATTTGGTATTCAGGTTTATTTATGAAGCGCACAGAACCATCACAGGCAGAGGGATATTAGCAGTGGCCTTTGGGGAAAGCCAGTGTGACTCCTAAATCAAATATGACATTTGGTCCAAACACATGCAGTCTGAGAGTCTGAGTGTTTGAAGGGAGATGAGACCGGGGAGTAGTGATAACAGCCTCTGACCACACTGCAGATTGCTTTTTTATGGCCAATGTTCAGGTTTGACAGGTGAACTTCTCTTTCTCGTAAACCAAAGATGTTCATTTTGTCTTCTCGTGTACTTTAACTTCTTGGGTTTTCTTTAAAGACAATACAGTAAAGTATATTTACCTTGGTCTTCATCTTCAGAAGCAGCCGAAACATGTCAACAAGGTAAATGCACTTTACTGTATTGGCTTTAAAAAAGAACTCAGTAAGTTAATTCGCACTCTGGTTTCATGAAAAAGATGACAATCAATTTAAAACATGGGAATAGGACACAGTGAAATCAATGCGTTGTAATTTATTTTAAATTGGAAGGCACATCTCTGTAAACTCTGTGGCAAGAGTAGGAGCATACCAAAAACTGAGTGGCCAAAAAAACTATAAAATCAGATGCATTATTATGATTTATGCAACTTTAAGGGTCCTATTTTATGCAAAACTGACTCTTGTGAGATTTAAGACATGATAGAATGCTGTTATCTAATCAAAAACATACTTGGAGTTGTGTTTTGTGTTATTCACATGTTTGAGTAATCCTCTACTATTAGTTTGGCAGGCTGGCGCCACCTAGTGCCTCCACTCAATTTCATTTCTCTCCAGCAACTAGGTCAGGAATCAAAATACACAAGACGATTTTTCAAGAACCAAGGAAGTTGTAGATGGTGCACCGGCCAATCAGAGAAGAGCTGTGAAGCCATGACGTCAAACTCAAGCGCCTGTCTGGGTCCCTTTTGTGGCACAGCACAAAAGTAAACAAAGCGGTCGAGATGGATGTAGACGTACATTCTATGTTGGCAACGATTCCCAAGATCGAGGATTTAAAGCCGGAACAAAGAGAATGTTTGGTGAATTTTATCAAGGGGAAAGACGTTATTGCCCTTCTTCCTGCTAGATTTGGCGCATTATGTCACGACCAAATAGCAGTGATTGGTTAAATAAAAAATAATACCCGCCTACCGTCGAGCGAACGAAACCTAATGCTGCGAGGTCAGACAGTTTCTAAGAAGTGAACCTGCTACTATTACTCTACCTACATTTCCAAAGTTCAAAATGCTCTGTTCCATCTTATGATGCCATGCAGTGGTAGTTTTCAAGTTAACAGCTGCCTTTTACCTTTTGTTCAATAGAGAATGGCAATTGCAGGACTGAAATTAATGATATTATTCTAGTGAAGGTGTATGGAGTTTAAAAACACTGTTGAGCACTTCCTGTATTACTTCAAGACATCACGAGGTGGAACACTGTTTTAGATTTGAGAGAAGAACTACACAGGATTTGTATATTAAACATGTGATTGAAATAAAACTCAACTCCAGGTAACAACATTATAACAGAGATCAGAGAATAGTGTATTATGAGCCCTTTAAATTAGTTGTGGTAATATCTTCTGGACAAAATTGTATGTCCTACTGTGCACATTTGCTTATTGCTAATCTTTGCCGTTTCGTTTACTACTTTTCCTAATGTAGTAAATGGTATGTCAAGAGCATTGGCTAATCAGTGTGATTACTCATGCCACGGTTTGATTGTGAGAACTACGAAATGTTAATTTAGACTGAATCAAAAGTGAGTCATTTCAGCTCATTCTTAAATTCAGAAGTAAAACCAAATGTCAGGTGCTTTTTCTTCTAACAAGCATCGTAACGATTAATTTTCATATCTCCAGTAGTAAATTAATTGCATTTGGTTTAGAATATCCTAAATTTGAAAAGATAACATCACTTTTATTTGTCCAACGATGGGGAAATTCTAGTGCTGCAACCACAGACTGTATAAATGGACATAGCAGAAGTGCAAACAGCATGTGCCAAACAGGAAGTGAGCAGGGGGGCGCTTCCGGCTCAATTGCTTCTGGCTCTAATTGACTTGACACTGAAAAATTGTCACCCCTCTCTCTGTAACTGCTGCAGTGAGCCTTGTCATTTTGGTCTTAAAATGTTCGTATTAACCCGCTCTACATGATCCAGGTGTTTTTATTACTCTATTTTGTATGTAAAAAACTTTCTTTTCCTAATATGGAATTGACTCCAAATTCAACCCATAACTGCAGCCTTGATGAACTTAATTTAACTGGATTTCGTTATACAGTCTACGGTTGCAACACGCGGTTCAAGAACAGCAAGAGAACAGCAACGGGCATTCAAAAATCAAGATAACTAATAACTATTACAACAGAAACTTACCATATTTTTCAGACTTTAAGGTGCACCGGATTATAAGGCACAATATCAATGATGTTGAATTCTCTCATCTATTTTCATACATAAGGAGCACTGGATTATAAGGACGCATTAAGCAAAACAAACGGACAATACTTGAGACTGATCCCTTAGCCCAGGCGTTCACGATCCATTGGCAGATCGTGGCGTAATTCGTCCGACATTGCCTCCCTGTCTTGGTGAATGTGGATTATGAATGTGAATGAGTGTGGGTGGATAATTTTAGTTTGTTTTTGTTTTTTTCCTGTGAGGATTACTCAAATATACATTGAGTAATAATGTGTTTTAACCCTCTCCAGGCAGGTGTTGCAGATTTGCAACAGCTAAATTCCAATTACCTACTACTTACTCTAAATCCATATTTTATGAGCTTTTTTTTTACTCAGGAGCCTTTTCTCCCATCCATGCTGATAAACGTGGAGGATGCAGACTGTGCAAGAACGGCTACACACAAACGGCCTGCCAGAAGTGCAACTTTTTTTGTTTACAAAGGATAAAAAAGTCAGGATTGTATATTACTACCCATAGTATAATTTTCCCCAAATATCAGATTTTTCCTGATACTAAAAATTAATTTGAGCCTGAGAGGGTTAATGCAGCTTTGAGCACATTTGTTTATGTTTTACAGAAACAAAACTTAAAACCACATGGATAATTTGCATAAACTATAAGCTCTGAAAAAAACTGCTTGCTCTTTGTGCGCCGATGCGGTTCAGCTTCTGTCGGACTAAATACACGACTCAGTGGAATATGAGTGTTCTCTCTATGACAGACGATGTGCTGCTGATGGTGAGCGTGTTCTGTGCTTCTTTTGCATTGGAGATGGTTCATGTGAACCTTTTAGGCTCCTGACTACGGTAGCTGTAATGCTCCGACAATCCATTAAGCAGTGTGGTTTTGTATCTTACCAAAGTCGTACTAAAATATTTAGACAGATTTTTGAGCGCCGCATGCCACATAAAATCGGTTCAAGGTCAGTAAGCACAACCAGAATTAATACATAAGGCGCACCGGATTATAAGGTGCACTGTTGATTTTTGAGGAAAATTAATGGATTTTAAGTGCACCTCGTAGACCAAAAAATAAAGTACATTTTAATTTAAGACCACACTGTGCAAGTAATCCAATATAGAATATAAGAGCTTTATTCAACTTGACAATCCAGTCTCAAACTTACCACACTGATGTTATAATGAAGATAAAATTGTTGAAAATCAGTGTGCGTAACTGTATTAGAAGTTTCCTGATCTGGTAAAACTCACTTTGACCTGACAAGAGTGGATGCGCTGGGAGACAGATGGGACGGTTGGATGTCGGGTGCAGCGTCTGGCTCACCTGTGCTGGCTCCAGATGTGTGGTCCTCCTCTGAACTGGCCTCTGTTTTGACCTGGTCCTTCTGGTTCTCGGCGGCCATCTTCTCCGCGTGCCTCTGCCTGGCAAGCTCCCTGCGCTGGGCGATCTCCTCCTGGGTCAGCGGTCTGGACACAAGCACGGGTCAAATGCGACAGATGTTTCTGGAGGTTACCGACACGTAACATCAGATCAGAGCAGAGCGGAGCAGAGCAGAGAGGGGACATGAGGAGCTGGAGCAAGAGAGTCGGTTTTAAAATGTTTGTACAGTTGTTTAAACACGTAAATGTACTGAAATAAAAATGTCAATATTTGGGCTCAGCTTTATGGTTTAAGAAAATAAAAAAGTATGTGCTATGTGTTGTGTAATTTTTGAAAAGTAAACTGTCAATTTACATAACCTGAAACCAAAAGAGATTTATTTCTTCAATGAAAAAAGTCCACCATTTTGAATAATTAGAAAAACTGCAGTAATCAACATCAGCAATTGAGGGATATAACTATTGAATCATGTCCCAGTTGTTCAGGAAGGTAAGGCAAGGTAAAGAGATGTATTTACAAACATGCTGTGCAAAAAAATATGCAGATTTGATACGTAAAAGTGCCGTGCCAGACCTGCAGAGACATTGTCCACTGGCTAAATATCTGTTCTGCATTTTTAGGGGTAGGGGAAACCTATGCAGACACAGGAAGAACATGCAAACTCCACACAAAAAGGTCTTGCTCTGAGTAAAAAAGCGCTAAACATTCAGCTTATCTATTGGAAAAGTCAGATCAAGTGTGGACCTAAGTACCAGAATGTCACTTATGATTTCGTTATTTCGAGCTATGTCACAGCAGAACAAGCAGAAAGTGGTACAGAGACGAATGTGATCTGTGCTATTTGAGTCTAAAGTTGACTCAGAAAAATGAAGACTGATGTTCGAAATGGAGTGGGAAGGAGGAAGACTTTTTTAATCTACTCCAGTGTCAGAAAAAAACAACAAAGCTGCTTTTGTTCACAGTCAATATCTCACAAACATTACTACAGTTTACAGTTATTTTCAAAACAACAATGGTAATCTGAAAGTACCATGAGGCTAAGAGACAGAAGAAGAAGAAGAAGAAGAATTTCAATTTATCAACTGGACAAAAGTTTATTTTAGTCAAATGGTGAACTGAAGAAGTTCTTGGATGAGCTGCGAAACATATTTGACCAAAATAAACTTTTGTCCAGTTGACAAATTGAATTTCTTCTTTTGCCATGGATTCTACCTGGACGACAGAGGGATTGTAAACGCATAAGGGTAAGATAACATCATTGCCTACTGTACATACCGTACATGAGCGCAGTTAAACTTGAATAAACACGAGTATTTAAACTTCGTACTTTCTATACTGCGACCAGACATTCTGTTTATAAAGTGATTTAAAGCACTAAATACTTTGACATTGCTTGTGTTCCAGTCCCAGAGTGTTCCGCAACTTAATCCCACACACAGACACAGTAAAGCTTCTTCTAGCGGTTCATGATCTCATGAATCTTAAGAGGTGCTCTATGTAACGTCTCTTGTCCTCCTCTTGCTTGTTCCCAAGGAGACATTGTTGCTCTACTTTGAATGCTTCACAGAATGGCAGTATACATATCTACCTTGGATCCATTCAAGTATAGGTGCTTGTATTGCCTCTCCACAGATCTGACCTGTAACTTCACATGACGGTCTCAATGGAGATAGAAAAGTTTAATGTCCCACGGTGGATAACTCGCTATAGGCCAGTGGCCTTCAATAGGTGAGGCCCGCCTCCCCTGGGGGCGCCAAAGAGCCACTGGGGAGGTACAACACACATGAAGAAAAAAAAAAAAAAGCAGTCTACAACTGTACAAATCAGGTGCCACAGGGAGGCGTCAGTTGTAAAAAAAAAAAAAAACTGTGTTGTTGTGTCCTTAGGCAAGGCACTTCACCCTCATTGGCTAGTATGAAAGTGGTGTGTGTGTGCGTGAGTGATGGTGGTGGTCAGAGGGGCTGATGGCACAGATTGGCAGTCTTGCTTCCGTCAGTCTGCCCCAGGGCAGCTGTGGCTACAGTAGTAGCTTACCATCACCAGGTATGGAGTGAATAAATACTGCTCTGTAAAAGCGTCTTTGAGTGTCCAAAAAAGCGCTATATAAAACTGATGCATTATTATTTATTATTATTATCTGCAGTAGTATTGATGTTGGTAATTGTGCGTGGATTAGCTGTAAAATTAAGTCGTCATTCTGACAAACTACTTATCGTTTGGAGCGTCACCTTTTTGCCTTGTATACGCCACGTGGACCGCACCTCTAAACCAGAACTAAAACCAGCACTAAACCATAACTAAAATCAGGACTAAAATCAGGTCTAAACCAGGATAAAACCAGGACTAAAATAAGACTAAACCAGGACTAAACCAGGACTAAAACCAGGTCCAAATCAGGTCTAAACCAGGACTAAAGTGCTGCCACTTCAACCAAGGAAAAATAAAAAATGCCCAGACACGTGCCAATTTCAGCCGTCAGGTGTCGTCAGCACTGATTACAAATGTTAAGCATATTCTGTTGATTTGGACAGGCCTACTGATGTTCAGTGATGTTAAACGTCGCCTCAATTAGGTCTGCATGAAGTTAGAAATTATTTGCTATTACAGAAACCGTTTATGAATGCACTTTAAAAAAAATATGAAAATACAATATAAAAAAATATATCATTTATTGAAACTCATCATAGCCAGAAACACAAAAGACACATTTACTTCAAAGGCCTGTGTGGCGTTGGGCAGGCGGAAGGGAGTTTGGGGAAGGGGTCACGGTTGTCTTTACCTACTATAAGGGGAGGCTCACATTCACCCAATTTGAAAACCCCTGCTATAGGCAAAGCTATAAAATCTTCATGAAGCCAAGCAGGTGCAGACAACAGTTACATAGCGCACCTTTGATAATGTGTAATAAACAGGCAAATCATTAAGAGGGACATTAATCAGGGTCCCAAAAAGATGCAGGAATCAAGATTTCAATCAAGATCTCACAGTGAAAGCAAGAGTCAGAGTAGTATAAAAAAAACACCAGGACAATGGACACAACTCTCTTATGTCAGCTGAGCACCTCCGCCTAAACTAAACTCATTTTCAGACCACTTGCACAGTCAGGTCGGGAGGGCAGTCGGGTTATGAGCGCTGAAAATCATTATCTGCACATTACTTTAGCAGTAACCTGACCCAAGTGTTTTGAGTGGGCTCTGTGGCAACTTAAAAAAAAAACAAAAAAACACCGTATCTATAGCAACGCAGCTGTACACAATGAATGAAGCAACGGCGTAGACGAGCTCACCTCCGTCGCCACTTAAAACAAACCCATAATTCCCCCCTAGACAACAGCTACACCAGCCTGCGCAGCCACTCAGGCTAATTGCAGTATTATTTTGTAAAATTCGGTGAAAGAAATAGGTAATGTGGTCGGAGGAGGAATACCGTGGAGACCGCACAAAAGCGAAGATGCCATTAGCCGTGGGTTTGAGTTGAGCAACAAATGACTGAAGCCTCAAACTGCAGGAGTTGGCCACAGAGGAAAACTATGTCACCACCGCACAAACAAAGGCACAAAAACATGGTGGGCAGATGTTTAATTAAAAAGGGGGTTCCCGTTACTTCTGAATGCATTTTCCAAAACATGTGCAAGACAAGAGGATGAGATATTGGCTTTGGGAAATGTGGAAAAAGAACGGAATCAGTTCAGGATGTAGTAGTGTTGTCACGAAGACTGGCAATTTCAAACTTTTCGATTTCGATATTAAAGGTGCATTGTGTAAATGTTCCATAGTATGACATTAAACATTTAGATTTACCTTACATTTAGTCATTTACAGGTGGATTTATAGCTCAAAATTACATTCTGACTGTGAGCGGGGTTGCCTCTGCACAGATCTGACCTGTAACTTTGTCCACTGTAGTAGAAGATAGAAATGTTTAATGCCGTACTGTGAAACATTCCAGACAAAGCAATAACATCTCCATGGAGAAAAGCATTTGACGGACCCTACACAAGAAAATTTACACAATGCACTTTTAAGGAATAGAGTTGATACTGATAAAAAACACTCTTTTCTTCCTGAAGATGCAATTGCTTTACCTGGAATGTTCCACAGTATAGCATTAAGCTCGTGTATCATGCATTGAATCAATCAGAAGTGCTTTGAAAAACAAACTATAACTATGAGCAGGGTCACCTCTCCACAGATCTGACCTGAAATTTGACCAATTTGTCTCCACAGAAATTGATAAGTTTAATGTCATACTACTAAGCAAAGAAATACAATCTCCATGGAGACAAGCAGGTGAGGGACTCTCCACCAGAAAAGTTACACCATGCACCCTTAAGGAATAGAGTTGATAGTGATTCCTATACAGACACCACAATGATAATAATAATTTTAAAAAAATCTCTTTCTTTCCTTCTTGAAGTTGTAATTGGTTTACGTGAAATGTTCCACAGTATAGTATTATGCTTGTGTATCATGCATTTATTCAATCAGAGTTGTTTTTCTTGCTCAAAAATGCGTTGAGAAACATTTACTATAACAACTATGAGCAGGGTCACCTCTCCACAGATGTGACCTGATTTTTTTTTCCAATTTGTCTCCACAGAAATTGATAAGTTTAATGTCATACTACCAAGCAAAGAAATACAATCTCTATGAAGACAAGCAGGTGATGGACCCTACGCCAGTAAAGTTACACTATGCATTTTTAAGGAATAGAGTTGATACTGATTCCAATACAGACACCACAATGATTAAAAAAAAAACCCCAAAAAAAACACTCTCTTTCTATCTTTCTTTCCTTCTTGGTTTACCTGGAATGTTCCAGAGTATAGTATTACGCTGGTGTATCATGCATTTATTCAATCAGAGGCATTTTTATTGATCAAAAATTATTTGAAAAACAAACTAAAACATCTATGAGCAGAGTCACCTCTCGACAGATCTGACCTGAAATTTGACCAATTTGTCTCCATAGAAATAGATGAAGATTAATGCCATACTACCAGGCAAAGAAATACAATCTACAAGCAGGTGACGGATTCTACACAAGAAAAGTTACACAGTTCACCTTTAAATAATAGTACTTTCTT